CATCCCATAAAAATAAAACTCCTCTGTGACTGAAAATGAATTTATGCTTCAGATTGTGTTGAAGTGTAAGGTATAAACTTTCAGCAGAGCTTCCTCTCTGATTTTTGGTTCTGCAAGAGCCACTGCCATGAATGAATGCCATAGGTAGTGCCTTTTCCCACCTCTCCCTCTGAGTTTTGATTTTGCATTCTAGGAGTGTGGTCCATAGATCTGTGTATATAATCCCATGCTAATACAACCCATTTTAATGCACCACTCGGAGGTCTCTTCATTATTTTTGCTCCTGGTTTTATGGTTTCTTAGATTTGTGACACTTAGCTTAATTTTGAGTTGGCTCTTACTATTGTAATTAATTCATGCCCATGTAAGTCTCTTATAATGCAGAATGACACAGGATCTTGAGTCCTTAAATGGTTAGTGTGGAAAAACTTCTGATGGGCTGGATGTGTTGCTGAAGGACAGAATGTATGTATTTACTTTCTGACCTCTCACATAAATGCTGTCAGAATTTTGCTCTTAATTTGATTTGTGGCATTCCATTAACAGTTATTCTGCGTATAGGAGAATAATAACTAATGATTCCCAGACTCCCAGAATTGTAAAATAAGGGCAAGCACTGTTTGGCAGAAAAGAGATTGTACTTTAGAACAGACAGGAACCGCTCATATTAATCAAGGGATATCTGGTCTGAAATGACTTTTAGCTAATAACTTCTTATTCTCAGGTTGACCATATTGCTTGTAGGTAACATGCTTTTCTAATTCAGATGATTATTAATAGTCAGAGGCTAGATGTGTGGATTTCTGTCTCTTTCTGAAAGAGAAATGATGCTCTTGATTGACCTTATTTGAAGATATTTTTAGTGTTGAAATTATGATGCTAGGGGTTAGAAAGGGTGTGGTGAAAGTTCACAGATTAGCCTTTTGATTTGAGTCTTTATAAGGGTGAACATGTGTGACATGAATGAGCTCAAAAATGTGAATTTAATTGTCTGAAGTTTCAGGGCTTAATTAAGGACATAATTTTGTGATAGAGAACTTTCGGGCCATCAGTAGTAGAAGAAAATGAGTCACACTGAGTTCACCTGGAAAACATGCTGTTACCATGATACTTTTGGGCATGGATGTTGTTCCTAAAAGAATCCTTATGCTAAAACCCTCCTAATAAACTAATTTATTAAATATAAGCTAACATGATGAATGATGGAGAAGAAATTTAAACTGGCAGATTCTACGAGTTGTAATTTCCTTTCTTCCAAGAAACAACAAGTTTTGCTGGGTGTAAAAAGCACTGTGGCTCTGTAGAAGCTGCTCTCCATAGCTAAACAGGCTGGAGCAAAAGGAGGCTCCCAGCAGGGAGTGCTTGTAAGGCAGGAGGGGTTTGTCCTGGAGCAGTGGGATAGCAGCTGCCAGCTGCACACTCTGCTAATGAGGTGCTGCACAGGTTTCCCCTGTGCTGCCAAGCCTGCTGTAAGCTGGGATGAGACTTCTCCTCCTCTATTTTACAGGTGGGCTCTTTGGCAATTTTTAAAGATGTTTTTAATTCTCTGTCATTTGCTGGCAAGGCCTCGTGCCTGCCTGTGAGCAAGATTCCTCTTCCTGTTACGTGGTTTTGGGAATTTTGGCCGTGAAGGTCATTCCCTCTACTGATACCTTGCTGATTTCTGAGAGCAGTGCTTTCATGCTCTTTCAGTTGTGATGCTTTGTTCTCTTCTGAACTCCTGAAAAAGGCTTTTGGCTGACTGTATTGGATGGGATTGAAATGTGGTTTGTTCTCTGCTTATCTGCATCTATTCCTTGAGGAAATAACATCTCAAAAACTAATTCAGTGTTGAAATCACAAAGAGAAAAATGCAGGACACAGAGCCTGCTGCCTTGAGTACATGTAATTCCACATGCACATGCTGCTACCTACCAGAGGAGTCAAACTAATTGTAAGTCAGCATTTACATTGTGGTACAAGGCTGTGTGCAGATGTAAAGCCCTGTATAAGGTGTTAAATAAAAGGCTTCATAGTAGTACAAGAATACAATTTTATTATTTCAGTGTGTCACTCAGGCTTCTACCAAAATGACCAATATTGCAAACTACAAGAAGTGGGTTTTTTGGTCAGTTTTAATTTGGGGGGTTTTTCTGTACAAATTTACTTGGACAGCATCTCTGACAAGCTATGGGCCTAATCATTAGTCATGGAAAGAAATATTTTCAGTGGAAAAAAAAATTAGACTCTCCTACAGAAGTCTAATGATGCTATCTGTTATTATATATATTTAATAAAAGTGAGTGCATGTGTAACATCTCCATGGTCAGCTAGAGTAGAGGACTTTGCTTTTAGGAATGCTGACTAAAGCTCATCACTGTGTTGTGGACTCGACTAGAAAGCAGAATCAACTAAATAGACTCATCAGCTCTCTCCTAGTCTTTACTAGGAAGTACAGTTTTTGTCTTACCTGGAAAGAGGAATGAGAGCTCTGTAATTGCTCAGCAGGTGGAGGAGGCATTCCAAGCAGGACCAGAAGCCTGTACCACAAATCACTGGTGTTCCAACCTCTCTTGTGATCCTGGGGGTACAGTGGATCCCCTGGCAAAGTGCCAGGGCAGAGAGTTTCCGCATGTTGCCAACATTAATTTGGGATTCAAGATTTGAGCTAATATCTAATCATAGTCTCCAGCCAGACAGTTTGGTTAAGATATTGTTGTGGCATTTTGTTGTTGTTCCCGGAGCATAAGTAATCTCTAAGTAGGAGTTGATAATGTTTTTAAAGGCTCTCAGACATAATATAAAATTGTGCTTTGTGGGAAGACAGCATATAAAAACTTGCATTTTTGTCAGGTCTCTAATTTATGGGGAACAGGGACATGCAATAATCTAATTTATGTCTGTGTACATTATGTCACTGATCACAAGTAATGGAGTACAAGCAGGTGCTTTGATTTGTATGTGTAGAAATTGGTAGTAGGCTGAGCTAATGGTGAAGTAGATGTAGCTTGCCAGAGGAAGCTGAAGCTTTAGATTTGATTTAGTGTTGGTAGCATGAGAAGGTAAATCCAGGTCTAATGCTGAGCAGAAAGAGATGCTTAGTGTCCATGAAATCTGTAATTCTGCAGGCTAAAATACTGGAGTTTTTGGTCCTTTAAATGACAAGATTTAGGAATGGAAATTAATTTTGGAGATTAAGGTTTTATGTGGATGTGTTCAGCTTTAAGGGTATCTCCTCCAAATGAAGATTATTGTGATATTTGGCTGTTTCCAGTAAATGTGGTTGTGCAATTGTGTGTATCTGGTAGTCTTAAATGTCTTTAAAAAACAAAAAATATTATGCTAGTAGAAATGAAGCTAGCTCATTTATTCAATTTGTTAGTGAAATCTGTATATTGTACCCTAAATGCTTTAAATTCCCTCTCCTCCTGCCCCCCCCCAAATAAGCTTGTTTTGCAAATCTTAGTGTGTTACAAGAGCAGAAGAATACAGACTAATATTTTCATACTTGGGCATATGAACCTCCAGTCAAAACCTATGAATTATCTGCAGTCTTTTGAAACCAGAGACTTCAGTACCAATCAAATTATTTTTAACATGGGGTTTTTTTTGGTGTTGGTTTTGGCTTTTTAAAATAGATTCTTCTACTATATTTCAGTCTTAGTCTATACATCAAAAGAAGGATTAAATTAAGTTTATTTCCAGGAAAACCTAGGGGATAGGGAGAAACACAGGATGACACCATCACCAGAGCAATCTGGTGCTGACAGTGGACAGAGCATGTGAGCCCATTACGTTGGGTGTAAAATTTTTATGTGCTCAGGACGTGTTTGTGAGATCTTGGGGAAAAAACAAGGCCATGCATTAGTAATGAGATCAGTTTGCTAGGAAAGGGAGTGAGGACCACTCTGTGTCAATTAAGAGCAATTTGGGGTGGCAAATATCTTGAATGCTGGCTGACTCAGCTCGCACAATGCAGCCAATAACTGAGTAGCAGAATTTCACAAGCAGCTACATCAAAACCACTCTGCCTCAGTTGGTGACACAAACAACAGTAATTTCCTGTGTAAAGTAGTTTCTCTAGGAGATCCATTGATACCAGGTTTTTTTTTCACATTTAAGAAAGCATAATTTTCCCACTGTTCCTGTCTCCTTGTCCAAACGAATCCATTTCCTCCTTCTTCCTGAGTCATGGATTAGTCTTTTCCTTCAAATATTTTGCCTTTGTTTTCTTTTAGCCATGTGTGTGAGTGAAAATGACTTCACCTTTTTTTGTAGAATAAATCCTCTATGATTTTTGCTGTGAATATGCTTTGAGTAGGTAGTACTCTAATGTAAGGGAGGCTAATTAAAAGGAGAGGGAAAGAGGCAGAACTCTTTTGTGAAAGTGAGGAGTCTTTCTTCTCCTTTCTTATTTTTTCTTCTAGTGCAATAAAACTTGGATCCACCTCTTGGTCACTAGGTATGAATGGAAATCATGGAGGAGAAAGATGTGTGCAGCATTTAAAATGTATAAAAAATGAAATTGTCTAACACGGAAGGGTCAAATACTTCAGTAAGTTAGTCATCAAGGACCTGTCTATAAATGTAGTACTTAACAATCCTGAAATCACATTGCAGAATAATTAGGGCTGGAAGGGACCTCACTTGCAATCTTTCTCACAATAACAAGAAGAATTACTATAATACTCATTAGATTTTCTCTAGCATTCAAGTTAATATAAAATAAATGATTTTTATATATATAATATATAATACCTCAATACTAACTCAGAAATGTTCAACACAGATGGCTCTGACCTGTGCAGTAGTCCAGGATCTTCAGGAATATGTAAACCCTACATTGTTTATGGTGTGAAATGTACTTAATGGCCTTGGTTAACAGCTGGAGTTGTGGAAAAGGAGACTTTTTATTTGTTTTAATGAGCTCTCTCCACAGAAGAGCAGGAAAATGCCATGCCAGCCTAGGCTGAAGGTGCCTGAGTTTTGCTAGGTTTACTAAGTGACTGTTTTCTTTCTAGATTCCAGCCTATGGAGAAGTGTACATGAGAACAGGATAAATATGGCTTTTAAGGGCGAGGACCACTTAGATTCCCTTTCCTTCCCAGTTCAGCGGTAAGTGGTGCACTCTATCATTCAGATTTGAGTGATTAAATGGTTCTGAGGCAGCAGCTGCACTTTCCTTTGAGGCTCTGGAGGTACTTAAAGGCTCATTTTTAAACCCAGGTAGTATTCCTATGGAATTTTTAGAATGAATGTGGAAACTTGAGCTGCATTTCTTGAGGCATTTGGAAATTTGTATACCTGGAGAGTGGTAAATCACAGCAGTGTTTCTGCAGCCATCATTTTAAATGGATGGCCATGTTTGCAGTAGCAATGGGACTGTACTTACTAGACTGCTTCTTAGTCATGATGGAAATGACTGGAACCCTCTGCACTCTGTGAAGACTGCTGAAAGCTATAAATAAGAATTTGTTTAGCATGGTTGACTTTGTTCTTGTGTGGGTATGGTAATGATATGAAGGCTGTGGTAGAATGAATGTCTCTGGTCTGTGGTACCCTCTTGGGAGTGGAGACATTGGTGACTCTGCTAACCAACAGATTTTTAAAGAAATTGATATTTTGGTTGCCGTCTAGTAGCTGTCTCTGTATAGTGTAGTTTTGCTACTAGCCTAATAGAGGTTCCATGAAAAGAAAAAAATACAATAACCTACAGTCATTATAGTCATTGCGTGTCACAACTGGGCTTGTTTTGTTTTTGTTTCTGAGAGAAAGGAGGGTGAGGTTCCTGCTGAACCCAGGAATAAAATCAGAAATAAAAAGGACTTAAATTTCAGTCTTTGCCCTAGTCTTCTTTCTTCAGGTCAGACTGCAATTCTTTATTGTAGTTAACTTCCAATTGTAATTGGCATACAGTCTCAAAATATGCAGCTTTTCTTCAAGGGTAGTTTGATATTTCTCTACCTTTCCTTACCTCAGTTTTCCAGCAGATACTTTGCCATTAAACTCAGTCACTGTAACAGATCTAAACATATTCTCTTCTGTAAGAAGCACTGTATAGAGGTATTCCAAAACAATGGGGTAGTTAAGACTTAGAGTTGTACAAAACTAGCTGCAAACAGAGCTAAGGGAACAGGTCCTCGGGGTGGCCAAAGGCTGATCCACGCTGATGGTGCCAAGGTTTGTTTACAACACATGAATGAAGAAATTAGCCTGAGTCTCCCTGTGCTAGCAGCTGGAAACGTGGAGTAAGAAAAATGCACTTTAGAGGTAACAACAGCACTGAAAAGAGCTGAATTTTATAGGCTGGTGGCTTCTAGAAAAGGCAAGTGCCTGTGAGTCAGGTGTGCAGTGTTGAGAGAAGCAAAGCTCTGCCATGTTATGTGAACACAGCCCCTCTACAAGCACTCTGAACGGTACCTTAGCACGAGAAGGGATTTGGAAAAGTCCCACATAGCAAGTGTTATGTTTTGACAAAGAGCTGAACTCAGCAGGGCAATTCTTTATTGAAAAATTTAAAAATAAGTACTCTCCCTCACTCACAGTAAAATACAAAGCTCCTATTTTTTGTGTTTTTATTTTGAGAAATGATCTTTTTTCCCCTGCAGATTAGGGTTATTTCAGGTCAAGTCCCTGTAAGAAATGGACAGACTGAAGCTGTCAGTAGTCAGAAAGGTGAAGGCTCAGAGAACATTGGAACTGAAAATAAGAAAAGGTGTTTTTATGCTAAGAATTCAGTAGAAAGAACACAGAATGGGCTAGATAAAGTTCAGAAACTGTACAAAATGCTCTTTTTGATTGTTAAAAAAGAAAAAACCTGCACCCAACAAAATAGCTTTTCCAAAGAAATGGAATTTTTATGAGATTAAGTAATTTCTCTGGGTTAAAGAAAGAAGTATATGGCTCCTATAGGGCATTTAAAAGGATTAAGGGAATTTTCAAAATAACAGGATTCAAATAGTCTTAATTTTTATTGTTCCTGTACCCAAGACTAGGATTTATGACTGTCTCAGGATTCCAGTTCACATTCCTGCTCTTTGTAAGTGGCTTGAATTAACTTCTTGGGTAGCTCAAATCCAACTGATGTAAATCCTGTGTAGGACCACAACCATGCCTTGCTTTGTGTTGAGGTCATAATGTTTCATCAGTAAAAACAGGCAGATCCTTCAGCAAGAATATCTGTCTCCATAGGAAAAGTGTACCATAAATATGCAAACAGATTCCAAGTGTTTCCACAGTGGTCACTGGAGTTGCCAGTTATTTTGGCTGTGTAAGGTATTTAAAACTGGGCCCTTAAAGTCTCTGTGCTTCATGAATTGTTGTTTATACACTTTCCTTAGATTTTATGGGAAATCACAACTTGTTCTGGAGTCTCTAGAGCACTGAGTCATGGTGTTAATGGTTTTCTAACACACTGTCAGAGCTGCTGTCTCTAATTGACATCTAGACTGCTATGGGTACAGTATTTAAAGCTGTGCCGTATCCTGAGGAAAAACAAATTATTACAGAAAATTTATTTTCTGTTTCAGTGAGTTAGGAACTTAAGTGATGATTTTCTCTTAGGAGAGAAAACAATTGGAAATAGATCACTTTTATAAAAGAGTAATTTGCTTACTCTCCAAAAGCTGTATTCCTATGTAAAGCACCGTACAGGACCATAAAAATTATCTGTTTTCTTCAGGGAGGGCCAGTTCATTGAAGCATGTGAAGTATGCATGTGTTCCTTAGAGATGCACATAACCTCATTCTGAAATAGCTGTTTTTAGTGTAGCTCTGGCAAAATGTCACTACCCTTTCCTTATCTTTATAAGATATAATTATAAGATATTCTTATCTTTATAAGAGACAATGAGCTTTAACATTGTTTTTTCCATCTAGAACAACTCACTTATGCCCCTGCCCTTCATCCTGTGTAATGAAAGTTCACTGCCCTGCTTGTTTTCTGTGAGTTTAAATTGTAGTTTACACAGGCTTTTTCATTGTAGACATGGGGTTTTTTTAATACTTTCTGTATTGGATGGTAAACTAAACTTAAGGCACTGCTGAATCTGAAGTCATTCAACTAAAGAGCACTCATCACCAGAAGTGAAATAAAATGCTGTTTTGGCTTCTGGGATTATGTTTTCAGTTCAGGGCTTCAACTGGAGAAATATGGTATAGTTAGAATTTGTAAAAAAAGAATAAATGATCATCATCATATATCAAAACTAGGTTAAAAAAAAACAAGCCACAATTGTCATCACCAACTTCCCCTTTTCCCCATAAAAACCTCTCAACCCCAAAACAGTAACCAAATAAAACCAGAATAAAATTAACAAAACAAACTGAAGAAATACCTAATCCTGAATAAGAGTCAAAAGTGTACACTAGCAACTTATAAAACCAGTTGTACCTTGGGCTACATCAAAAGAAGTGGGATGTGGCTTTGAGCAACCTGGTCTGGTGGAGGATGTCCCTGCCCATGGCCAGTGGGATGGAACCAGATCATCTTTTAAGACCCTTCCAACCCAAACCATTCCATGATTCCATGAATTAATTAAAATAGCTTGCTGGTTTTCAGGTAGCAAACTAAGGCTGCTTCCAGAACTCCAGGAGCATCCATGAAGGGCTGGGCACAATGTTTTTTGATGTGTGCCCAGTGGGGATAGAAGTACTACTTGAATTGATGCAGAAACCTTTGTGGAAAGAGAAGGAAAAAATAATTGTCAATATGTGGTCTTAAATGGCATTTAGATAATGTTTGTTCAAAGCTGTGACTTGAAACAGAAGCAAGAAAAATTCAGCATTTTATACTGCAGGAACTGCATTGATTCTGCTTGTTTCTCTGCCTAATCAGGATGACAAATTTGTCGACCTTTATGGAACATATGGACATATGAGGTGAAAAACATATAGGTCTATAGTCCCAGAAGCGAATATTGTTAAAAAAAAAAAAGGAAAGAAAAAGGAAAACCCCCCTGCCTCCCACCCTTTTTAAAGTAAGAGGATTTCTACCTGATCAGGAGCTGAATAATTTCAGGGATCATTCACATTGCATTTTGCTTCTACTTTTAGAGTTCATATGGCCTCTATACAGCTGAAAAGAGGTATTTTGAGGGGTAAGACATGCAGAACCCTTCAATGTTTTTAATACTGTATTCTTATGGGGCTGTCAGGAAATGAATGGATCCTTCCATTGGTCTCTCTCTGCAGAGTGTCTAAAATGTCTCACTACTCAATATACCATTTAGTGCTCTGAATCCAAGGCAGTGACATTTGGTTATCCTGTCATAGAAAGTGAATTCTGACTAAAATAACATCTGTTTTTTTCCTTGAGCTTGCCAATGATGTCTTGCCCCTTATATTCTGTAGGTGATTGGGATCTGTAGGTTTTGATGCCATTGTTTTCCTGGCCCTGAATTATGTTTCATTATTTACCTATTTTCTTAGATATGAATCCCCAAGTGGAGGATTTATAGGGATGTGAATTCTGTGAATAAACCTTATATTTTTCTCATTCTGGTCTATTTTTTTTTAAATCACTTCAGTTCTTCTTACCTTTCCCTTTCCAGTGCATGGCTTCTGTAGCTTGTAGCCACATCTGAGTACTTGTTCTCACAAGATTTTCCTTGCTTCTTTTTTTTTTTTTTAATCTCACTTCTTTTAGTCTTTGGTTATCAGACTGTGCTCCAGCTATAAGTAATCCTGAAATCATTTTCAAGTAAAAGTACTTTAAATACTTTGTCTGATCAGGGACGTCTTCTGTAAGTGCTGAGTTAGGAACTTAAATGATGATGATTTCTCTTTCTATTTCAGAATCCTACAGTGTTTGCTGCTGATAACTAAGGCTTTGTTCTGTATTTCTGGCTTTTCACACCTGTGTCTGCAAAATGAACTTCCTGTCTAACAAGAACTCCATGAAAAGCAAAAAACAACATTTGTATTTCTGGTTTTTGCATTGTACAAGCTACTTGCTGCGCATAGGTCTTGCCCTGTTAATTAGAATTCTACATTCCCTATGATCACTTTTATTTGGATTCCATCAGGAACTTTGTTGTGGCTCCTTGAAAGCTGTCAGATAAAGAGTGGAAGTAACTCTAGAAGAAAATAAACTCAAATTATTTGTAATATAAAAG